ACGTTCTTTACATTCTTTCAGTTGAACTGAATTTCAGGAACCAGACATTAATAATTGGAGGGTCATGGTTTCTCTTCAGATGTACTGCAATCAGTGACAGTAGTGTATGCCCTTTGTCAGTCAGAAATGTCAAGGCATCAAATGCCCTTCCCTCAAGGAGATGGCTAGGTCTCTTTAACTGCCACGATTGGTGCCTATCTGTTTGTTAGTGTGGCCTGTGTGACATTTTTGTCACTTATTTAGGCATTGTATTATTTAAACTATAAGACTTCATTTGTATGGTTAGTTGCTTTGTCCATCAGCAGCAGAGGTGAACAGTACATCACTCATTTCATACCACATTATAAGGATGTCACTGTAAGGGGAGAGACAAGACTGTCAACAAATATATTCTGTTTAAAAGACCATGTAATACAGCTTTAGTATAATGCTACACAACTTGATATTTTTGTTTTATTGTAGCTGCATTTTATCATAAATTCTTTCACCTTGAAATTGAACTTTAAGAGGAAAGCTTATAAACTATAATGATGATAGTAAATTATAAATTGCTGAGTACTTTCTTTGTCATACTTCTGTATTTCTCTAAAACCTTATATTTGTCTGTATCTGGGACAGTTTTATTCCAAATACATCTCTCTGTGTGTGTGTATTTCACATAAAACCATCTCTGGTTAAGCATGAATTTAGGAAGACTGTGGTAACTAACATTAAATAGCTGTTTAACAGGGGAAGATTTTTCCCCCCCATTAATGTATCTTCAGAAGGAAGAGACTCCTTTTGACAAATAATTTAAGAATAGCTCTATTTACCTAACCTTAGCAAAACTCGTTAAATAGTATCACATTGGTTTTAGATTTCTTGTACTTGCCTAATCCTTTATTAGGGGGAGGGGTTGCTTTTTTACTTTAAAACAGAAGGGGAGAATTATAGAAACACTATGCTATAGGCAAGGAAAGACACTCTTTGTCCATGGTCATTTGACATTTCTTAGCAATTCCCAACTTTATTTACTAAAGTAAATGAATATGGAGGCAATTTATACCTTGCCACTCTTAAACGGTCAATGTTTTAACATTCTGATGTATTCCCTAGATGGGGAAAGTCTTTATTCCATTTGACCTGGGTTCTAGTCCCAGTTCTGCTGCTAATGTAAGTGTGACCTTAGATGGAGGAGATTGGTGTTTTTGATCTGATGAATAAAATGGTGAGTCAGAGGTGAATATACTCTGTTGAAGAGTACAAGGTAGAGTTGAAAGTGGGGAAAATATTGGGGGACTAGAAAACTGAGAAGAAATGGGGCTAGCTTAAAGGGCAGTTATTCTGAGGAATTATTGTTCTGTTGGTTATCATGAAATTGTGTTTGCTGTCAACTAGTGAGAGTAGAATTTTTTTTTAACTATGTAAGTTTAGTTCCTGAAACCATGTATTTTTCATATTCACCTGCCTACCAGAATTATATTGGAGAAAAAACATTTTGCACTAGGTAAATATCCTGGCATCACATATAACTTTTAGAGCATCATGTAAATACTTAGCCTCTCAGTGTTTTATGCATAAAATTTAATCATTTTCCTTTTCAGTCTTTATCTGTGGTCATGACAAATTTGATACTGTTGACATTGGACTTTGCAAAAATTCTCAAGATGTCATTTTAAAACGACAGTTTATTTAATGTTGAATACAAGATCACACTGATTCTGAATGTTCTTTTTGAAGTCCTTTGTTCATTTTGCTATGTTACCAGAGCGCTTGCCATCCTTCCCAGCCCTGTTAATATTCTTGTATTCTGTATACCTGTTTTATGCCATTTTGTCCTCTTTTCATTTCACTCCTATATGTGGTATTTGCAGTGTGTTCAATAAACTTTCTCTTTTGTCTCAGCATACTTTCTGGACCTTACCGTGATCTGTATCAGTAGACAATTGCTGCTTTTCCCCTAGTTGTTGTCTTCCATGAAGGTTCAGCTATTATCAATCAGTATGTGGAAAACACATAAACCCTATGTCTCTACTCTGTAATCTAATCGCACTTGTCACAAGAAATCTCAAGTGGGATATCTTATCGCCAACTCAAATATGTCCAAGGCAAATCTTCTCATTTTCTGCCCTCTCTTGCCTTTGCCATTAAGTAGATGACTGTGCTTTATTATCAGCTTTCTGAGTCTAGAAACCTCAGTCATTTTGAAAGTGTCACTGTCCTTTTGTTCCATCCACCTTTTCTAGCCTTATCCTGCAGTGTGATCCTCAGTAACATATCCCAGATCCACTCCTTCCTTTCATATCCATAAGACTTAATCTGCACTGTGGCTATCTCTTATTAGAAAATGAGACTTCTGCTTCACACTTTCCTCTTTTATGTCATCGTCTAACTGCAGGCCTTCTCAAAACTGTGATTTGAAGTAGTGCTTTTTTTTATTTGAGCAAATCACTTACCTCCTTAAGGGCTGTTGTTGGATTTAGAGAGGCAGTATATAGTATGACAGAGGGGCTAGAACTCTGAACAACTTGAAGTCAGGAATACTTGAGGTTGAATCTTGCCAAAGACATTTACTTCATATATGACCATGGACCAGTTACTTAATCTTCCTGAGCCTCAGTTCCTTACCTTATAAAATAGAGGAGATAATAGTACCTCCCCCATTCCCTTTGTCCTGAGGATTAAATAAAAAATGTGATTGTGTGTGAAGTCCTTGCAAATCTCAAAGAATTATGCAAAAAACTGTTATAATTGTGATCATTATGTTCTATATGCTGTTTGCTTTATGGATAATAAGCAAGCTTTGTGTTTTATACCATACAGTCTTTTGCTAAATTCTATATAAATAAATCGTTAGTAATAAACTCTTAATCCATCTTAGATAATATTTGCTTAACCTTTGTCTTGCTCTTCAAGGGGTTCTCTTTTTATTCCTTTTCTAAAGATTTGCTTAATACTCTGTCATTATATTACTCTTGCCTTCAAGCCTTTTCTTAAGCTTCATTCTGCCAGAGCATCTTCTTCCCTGACAGTTTGCCAAACTCCTTTTGTGAAGGAATAAAAGACAGTCAAGTTTCTCCACGTCTCTCCCTCAGACTCTTCTTTCTCTTTTTCTGTTCGCTATCAAATAAAATGCTGGCCTTTTTTATTCATAATCTAAAAATTAATGTTTATCCAGTGTCTTATTGGTTGTCTGTCCTTTATATTGTAAATAAATAAGAAAGCATAATTTCATTCATTTCAGTTCCTGTTCCAGAGGGCTGAGATTTTTTTAAACTTATAAAATGATATAGAAAAGTAGATTTTTGATGATACCATTTTAGGTTAATATTTTATAAGTGTTTTGTGGGGGAGGTTTGGGGAAGGTGAAAATTGACTTAAAATGGTTCTTGCCTCTTTTAAGTAAAAGCTGTCATCCTTCATCTTAGACAGTTTTAGGTATATTCAGCTATCTAACATTGTTAATTACAGCTGTGCTAACCTGAATTTCTGTAAATCTGTAGTAAAGTGATATTTAATATTTGTAGAGATGACCATGAGGCCTGTGAAGTTTTTTTTAAAAGGTGAAATTATGGCCTATATAATTTTTAAGTAGTTAGGTCAAAATTATTTTCTTTTGTCCAAAGGTTATTATAAGACATGATATAAATCACTTTGCACACATTTTATTAAATTAGAACTTTTGACAGTTGTATTTCATGTATGTTGAGCATATTGCTATTCTAACCAGAATATTTGATTAAATAGAATAATTTGTTCAGCAACCATACTGGATCGTTTATTTTAGATTTAAAAACTTAAGGTGTTAAAACAGCATCCATTTCCTAAAGAAAGTGATTTCTTTGAATCAGTACAGATAAACAGCTGATATTCTTATTTGAAAAGTAGTACACTGTTTATTTAGCTGTTGGGAAAGCAAGTTTTTGTCTCTAAAATATTTAAGTAGTCACATTTTCCTTTTAAGATCCTACTAAATTAGGCTAAAATTATCTTTTGTTGTCTGAAAAATCCTATCTATAGTTACTGATGCCCATAATTATCTTCCCATAATTCATAAAATTGTTGCTATTTTTCCCCTTGTAAATTAACCAAACAAACCAAAAGAAGCCACAAATACTAAAAATTTACTTTTGTTACTTGAAACTGACTTCTTGTTTTTAAATTTTATTAATTTATTTTGATTTATCAACAATCACTTCCATATGCTTTTGAGTTGAAAATTTTTCTCCCCCTTCCTCCCCCCCACCCTCCCCAAGACGATGCACAATCTGATATATGATATAGGCTTTACATTTACATTCCTATTAAACATATTTTCACGTTAGTGAAGTTGTAAGTAAAAATTAAAACCAATAGGGGGAACCATCAAAAAGATGAAACAAAACTCAACAGAAGGTAAAAATAAGTGATAGCGATTGGACTTCCATAGTTCTTTCTTTGGATGTGGACAGCATTTTCCATCCCAAGGCCTCTGGAGATGTCTTAGATCCTTGTAATGCTGAGAAGGGTTCAGTTTAACAATATTAGTCATTGCGTAACGTGGCTGTTATTGTGTACAAAGTCCTCTTGGTTCTGCTCACTTCACTCAGCATCAGACTATATAAGTCTTTCCAGGTTTTTCTGAAGTGAAACTGACTTCTTAACATCTATAGAATAAAGATATAGTTATCCCATTAAAGTCCTGCTCTGCTGCCTTATCGTGGATAAGAGGGTGGCCTTATACTTTTGAAGGTCATAATAATAGATCACAAACTCGAGCTTTACTAAGCTGGGAATATTTTGAAGATAGATCTACTGACAGCTGCTTTGTCATTTCAGAACTAGGCTATATAGTATAGAAAGACATCACTAATACGTTAGCCACTATTTGGAGAGGTTTCAATCTATATTGGTAGAGGAAGTACCCATCCTGTGGAAATGTTGAGTCTTTCAGAATTTAATGGAATTTTGCTTACATAAATCCAAATTTTCAAAATTCTTGTCAGTGGCATGAAAAAAAACTATTCTTTTTTTCACTTCAGGTAAATGAAAACTTTGCAGTTGATTTGATAGCAGAGCAATCAGTGGCTAAAGTGGAAAGTCGAGTGATATCATGTGATGGTGGAGGAGGAGCTCTGGGTCATCCAAAAGTATACATAAACTTGGTAACGTATCCTAGTTTGTCCTTTCATTGTGCTTGCATTTTAAAGTTGAGTGCTCTTTGATTACTTTCTTCATAACTCACCTTCCTTACTAATCCACAAGTCTTTTTACTAACCATTTGCCATTTCAGACTTATCTGTTTACTTTGTATCTCATCCACCAGGCTAAGTATAGTTTCCTCCGTCTACCTACCTAGTCTACCTCTCAGTTTCAGCTCTGCACCTTTGTAGATGTATACCACTACACTGCTCACTAGTCCCTCCTCAGGCATATATAGGTAATTTATTAGCTGGGAGATTTATTAGGTTCTATAAGGATATCAAGAAAAATGTAGAGATAACAGGAAAAATTTTTCTAGAAAGGGAGAATAACGAATGTTGGAGGGAATATGGAAAAATTGGGACACTAATACACCCTTGGTGGAATTGTAAATTGATTGAACCATTTTCGAGAGCAGTCTGGAATTATGTAGCGAAGAGTTGGAAAACCCTGTATTAGGTCTGTTTCCCAAGGTGATCAGGGAAAAAGGAGAAGAACGTTGTAAAATATTTATAGCAGCTCTCTTTGTGGTTACAAAGACTGGAAATGGAGGGCATGCCCATCAATTGAGGAATGACTAAACAAGTTGTGTTGTATAATTGTAATGGAGTACAACTGTGCTATAAGAAGGGATGAACAGGTTGATTTTTAGAAAAACATGAAAAGACTTGCATGAAATAATGAGTGAAATGAGCAGAACTAAGAGAACATTTTGTTCAATAATACCTATATTATTCGAAGAGTAAATGTGAATGACTAAATTTTTGTGAGTATTATAAATACTTAACTACAAATGATCTATGAAGGAAGATGCTATCCACCTCCAGAGAAGAATTGATATAAGTGTGCATAGTATGGTTTTATATATAGTAACAAAAAAATTTTTTTTGTTTTTGAAAAAAATACACTGAGTAGCTCTGAATATTATGACTTAATTTTGTGTAATACCCCAGTATTAGAAGCAGGAAAGAACATTAATAAACAAGCTAATCAGGATTCTCTTTATTTATAAGGGGTGATTTGTTAGTAAGAGTCAATTCCTTGTATTTGTCAATTCCTAAAAGACTTATCTAAGCCTGAGCCCCTATTGTAAAGAATAGAAACTGTAAGCTTACTTGTGGAAATTCAAATACATAATTTACTCAAGGCATTAATGATTTCAAATATAAGGTATCTCATAAATAAGTTGTTAAATATATTTTTATTGATATCTTTTGTTTTTACATTACCTGCATTCCCCAAAGTATTCTTCTTCCTTCTTAGAGCTATTCTTATGATAAAGAGGAAAAAATAGTTTAGGAAAACTGATCAACCTATCTGAAAAGTTTATGTTAAATGTTTTGCCCCACACTCTGCAAAGAAGCAAAGGGAGGTCCTTCTCACATCTGTTTTTTTTGGGGCCAAGCCTAGCCATTATAATTTTACAGCATTCAGTTTTTGCTGTTTTGTTTACTGATCTTTCCATGTACATTGTTGTACTTACTGTGTATATGATATTCTGGTCATGCTTATTTCATTTTGTATCAGTTTATGTATCTTCCTGTGTTCTTTGTATTCCTCATACCTACCCATTTTTTCTTACATAGCACAATAATACTTGTTACATTCATGTACTGCAGTTTGTTTAACCATTCCCCAGTTGATGAATATTTCATTTGTTTCCAGTTCTTTGATACTGGGGGTGATGTGGGTGAGGGTGGTGTTTCCAAATTAGCCCACAAAAGTCTATAATATGTATAGGCAGTCTACATTTTCAACAATGTTTTTGTTTTTTTCATTGCATTGTATTCAAGTTCCGAACAGCTGGAACACAACCTGTCTGTAAGCTGGTTACTTCTCTCCTTTTCCTCTTTCTCCTTTGTCTTCTCTGCCTCTCACCTCCATACCATACATATATACATGGGTGTGTGTACCATACATATATACATAAAATTCTAAAATTTTAGAAGTGAGCTCTTAAAGAGTGTCCAGTAGTAATGAGAAGCTTGTTGGTGCAAATGGGTGAGGCCCAAAGATAGTAAGTGAAAATTTAGTTAGTTTATACGTCCGAGGAAGTATGGAAGAAGTTGGATTAGTGTTGTGGGAATGGAGATGCAGGTAATAACAGCTTTTTCCTCAGTGTCCCTCAATTCTTCCAAGATACAGCTCAAGCAGCACCTTTTTCATATTACATTTCCTTAATCCCTCCCAAATGGTAATACCTTCCTTTCCTAACTAGATAATATTTATTTTGTATTCTGTATGTATTTATTTTGTATGTACTTATGTAGTCTTCCTTGAGAGCAAAATTCTTTCTTTTTTTGTCTTTGTATTTTTAGTGCTCAACACAGTGCCTGGCACATACTAGCCACTTAATAAATGCCTGTTGATAGACATTTCTGTAATTGCATACCATTCGTTTAAAAAGTTTTTTCATTTCACAATTCACTTGAATTGCATGCATTTTGTATTGTACCACTTCTGATTAACTCATGAGCGTGGCTTGAAACAGCCATTGAAATTGTTACGTGGCAAAAGGACTTAATTAAACTTAAAAAAAACCCCATGATATACGTTTTAAATACTTACATAACCTTTTCATTCTCCTTTGTGGGATATTCATCCAGCTTATGCCTACTCACTGTGCGTAATTATCCAAGGTTCTGTGTTGGACTCCCAGATCTGTGAGAAATCTCAAAGGACCCATAAACTTAGATTGGTGACCTAATGATTCCAGAGCTTTAGATCTATCTTTAATCTGTGTTGTGAACTCCAGTTCTACATCACCAGTTGCCTTTTGGGTATTTCAAATTGGATAACTGCAAATCTAAAAAGTAACTCCTTATCTCCCCCCCAATTTTTTCATCTCATCTTCCTGTTACTTTTGGGAGAATACCACCATCCTCTCAGCTGTACAGACTTGAAACATTGGTGTGATTCTCAACTGCTTAGTTGCATTGAACCTGTATGTCCAGTTTATTGGTAGCTCTTGTGGTTTTTATCTTCACAACATTGCACATTTAAGTTCCTTCTTACCGCTCATGTGGCCACCACCTATTTGGGGTGCTAATCACCACTTGCCATTGGCCTCTCTGCCTCAAGTCATTCCCTTTCCAGTCTATTCTCCACTGCCCTGGCAAAGTGATTTTCCTTAAAACCAAATATGAGTATGTCAACCTGGCCTCTCTTTTTATTCAGCATCAATGGCCTGTTTGCTATGAGGGGCAAATCAGTTTAATTTTCTGTGCCCTACATAACTTCCTAAGGGTATAAGTTATAGATAAGTTGTTAATTTACAATTGAGGTGGAGTTTTCATATCAGGAGTGGCCTACATTGACAAAACACAAGTCGAGACCACATACACACATACATATATACATATATACATACACACATATACATAATACACATACAGTATGTACATATGTTGTTGGGTAAAAGAATAGCTATCATATAAAGCTTTGTAAATTAATGTTTAATTTCAAGTTTTCAAGAACTTTGATAACTTATTAATTAATATGTAATGTTAGATTTTTTTTTCATGAAGTTGTAGCAAAATATTGGTACCTGTGTTTAGAGTTTGCTGTTTCTTTTTTACAGGACAAAGAGACTAAAACTGGGACTTGTGGGTATTGTGGACTCAGTTTAAACAACACCACCACCACCACTGAAACCAGTTCTGTTCTTTGGGTCTTGTATAATTCTTTGCATGTAAGGATTTTAGTATTTTTTAGAAAATGCTTATTTAAGAATCATAACATAAGCTTTGTTTTAAAAATATTATATGAATAAAATATAATTATTGAATATAATTTAAGTTTAAGGTGACATTTTTCCCCATGGAATACAGTTCTTGAGCTGCATTATTTTTTATGGATGTATAGCATTCAGTTAATCTTTTAATTCACTGGCTTGCTGTCTTTCAAGAAAAATTAAACCTGTCAGCAAATGTTGTTTTTGGGGTTTTTTTTTTTTGCTTTTAGTCAATTGGAGTTAAGTGACTTGCCCAGGGTCACACAGCTAGTAAATGTAAAGGGTTTGGTTGGAATCCATATTTGAACTCAGGTCCTGCTGACTTCAGAGCTGGTGCTCTAACCACTGTGCCACCCAGCTGCCCCTTGTCAGCAACTGTTAAAATAAAACTTCATTACTTTAACCCAAAAGTATGTATTGAATTATTAGTAATAGTTTAGAGATTATAAAGACAGCCTTATGTAATAGAAAGGGCACTGAATTTGGAATTTAAAAAACCTGGGTTTGGCTTCCCAGCTCTGATGCTTATTAGCTTTACGATCACAGGCAAATCATTTAATGTCTCAGAACTTCAGTGTCCTTATCTGTAAAAGAAATTTCTTTCTTTTTCTTCTCATATCAAACATAAACATTTCAGTATCAAGAATGGAAAAGAAAATTGTAATTACAGTGTATGTAATATGTAGCCTATAGGTGTGTGTATATAATAGATGTGTGTGTGTCCCCTTTTGGATTTCTGCTCTTTTCTGTATATTTTAAGTTTCATCAATGATCTTTTTTTTTCTGCATTATTACCACAGTATCTGGTTCCTGTGCCCAGTAAGGGGAAGCCCTTCCTTGTGACAGATAGCTGTAGCTGAGGAAAACAAATCAATACATTGGCTGTGTCTGAAAAATATATGTCTCAATTTGTCCAGCTAGTCCATTGCCTCTTCCAGGAAACAAAACAATACAAAACACTTCTCACATTTGTGTCATTATATAGGGGTTGTGCAGATTTTCTCTATATTACTCTAATTTTAGCATGTGTGTTGCTGAAGTGAATAATTAAATGGAGATATTAGTGCTTGCGTGGTTGATATCATTGTTGATGTCATAAAGTTGTGAGAAAAGCATTTGTAAACTTTGAAATGTTATGTAAATGTACATTGTTCTAAAAAAAGCATATACATAAAGCTTGTATGCATAACTCCTTTTACTCACTGTTATCAGTCACCATCTGATGATAACATCATTTCTGCTGGAGTGGGACTGAGCAGGCAGTCACTCAATGGTACCTAAATCTATGATTTCTTCAGTTTGTCTGTAATATTCTGAGGAGCACCCGTAGGATGCTGAGAAACTGACTTACCCACGGTCATGTAGCTAGTAATTGTCAGAGGCAGGTACTGAATTGAGGTATTCTGACTCTAAGATAAGTCCTCCATCCATTATGTTACATTATATCTAGTGGCATCTTACCAGCTGAAATGAAATACTAATGTTGGGTGTTATATTTTCAATGTAAAAAAATTTTTCAGTACACTTATGTGCCTTTGTGAATTTACATAAGCAATTTGTACTGGCTTTTGCAGAGCCCTGAATATTTTCTCCTGGTAAATACTAATTCAAGAAATGCCAGGCACTTGTCATCTTAATTAAGACATAGTGCTAATGTATGATCTTTTATCTAAATCTTCATTTTCTCTTAGCCTCTTTTATTCTTTATTTTTTAAAAAAGACGTGTTAAATATTCACCAAAAAAATTGGGGAAAAAATTTTAAGAAGAATTTGTCTTAAGATTGGAAAGGGTAGAACAAAGAGAATAAAATCTTCAGGCCCAGATGATAATATATGTAATCACAGAATTACCATTGGTAATCTTTTAATCATTTACAAACAGGAAGTGGTCACAGAATTCTGCAGACATTTCAGTTTTCAATAATGTGGATTCTAATCAATAAGCTTAATGTTATTACTTGCAAAATTTTAGAAGATTTGGTTTGTGAGCATTTAGAAGGGAAGGTGATTATGACTAGGAGGTGATGTAGGTTGACAAGGAACAAGTCATGTCAAACTCACCTACTTTCCTTTTTTGATAAGTTTAGTGATCTCATGATGGACATTTTATAGATATTATGTACCTTGCCTTCAGCAAAGCATTTGATTAATCTCATAAGTGGTACATTGATGAAAGTGAGGGTGAAATGTGGGCTGGATATTAGTGCATTTAAGTGAATTTACAACTGCTTTAACCACCTTTCTCAGGAGTATTATTAATGTCTTTGTCAGCCTGTAAGGATATTTCTAGTGGTGTATTACAGGATTCAAATCTTAATCTGGCTCAGTATTTTTATTTGTAACTTGAATGAAGATAAAGAGGACATTCTTACCAAACGTGTATATGACTCAGTGCTGAAAAGAGGTGCATAGTGGTGGTAGATGATAGAATCAATTAATATTTAACATAATATTGATTGACTTGTCTTACCTTGGTATTCTTTGTATCTTAGGCCAGAAATTTGCATATAGAAGAAGTTAATAAGCATCTGGTAAATTGAATAGAAGGGACTAGAAACTTGAGTAGAAATCAACAAACTGAATTCTAATGGAGATGAATATAAATTTGTCAGTATAAAAATAGTACTGTGCAGTGCTTTACATTATATATAGATATTCATATAATTGGTTGAATGAATGTAAAGGCCTATGTTTAAAAATCATTTTCGTAGTTGTAGAATGTTGAAAACCTAGTTTGGCAGCAAGCTTATATGAAAAAGATCTGGGGAATTTAGTTGATCAATCTTAATTCCGTTCAATAGAGCAAGCATTAAGTGCTTATTATATGTAAGCACTGTGCTAGTCTCGTTTTTCATGATTTTCTTGCATCACTCTCATTTCTCTTCACAGTTTTTCCTATACTTCTTTTATTTGCTTCTCAAAATTCTTTTTGAGCTCTTCTAAGACCTGGACTGATTCATATTTTTCTTGGAGGCTATGGATGTAGGAGCTTTGACTTTGTTGTCTTCTTCTGGTTGCATGTTTTGATCTTCGTTGTTACCAAAAAAAAGATTCTAAGGTCTGACACTTCTTGCGAGGTTTGCTCGTGATCCCAGGCAGTTACTTGAGTTATAAACCTATGTGGAGAATGTACTGTCCCAAGCTTTGGGGGTTTGTACAGCTGTTTTTACAGATACTTCTAGGGACCTGTAAATTTTCAGTTCTTCCAAGGTGGTATGATAAGGGGCGAGGTGTTTACTCCTTTCTTGGCCTGTGCTCTGGTCTGTAAGTGACCACAAGCTCTCTTTTCTGTCTTGGAACTGTGAGGACGGTTTGCTCTCCACAGCCACTACAAGCTCCACCACAGTGCTCCTCCTCTCCCCAGGACCACAACCTAGAACTGTGGCCCAGATGCAAGCATGGGCAAAGCAAGAGATTCCTGCCTCAGCACTGGCAAAGAGATCCCTGCAATCCCCCTCTGATCAGCCACTCAATTCCCCCTCAGTCTGTGGTCTGGAAGCTCAGGAGACAGCTGCTGCGGGAATTAGGGCTGAAACCTAGCTCCGCTCTCATCGTAGAAACAGACTTTTCCCACTGACCTTTTAAGTTGTCTTTGGCGTTCATGGGTTGAGAAGTCTGGAAACCGCCACAGCTGCCTATGATTCAGTCCTCTGAGGCCTGCTCGAGGGTTGCTGCGGCCTGTGTGCCCACGCCGAACTGCGCTCCTCTCCCAACCCGGTGCGATACACCTTTCCGATCAACCATCCACATTGTTTTGGTTCACTCTGTCTTTTTGTGGGTTCTGCTGCTTTAGAATTTGTTCAGAGCCTTTTTTTTATAGGTATTTGCAGCGGTTTGGGGCAGAGCTCAAGCAAGTCACTGCTTTCACTCTGCCATCTTGGCTCCAGGTCTCTTGCTATTAAAAATAAAACAGTTCCATTGCTTAAGAAGTTTACATTCTACTTGGGAGAAACAGTGGATAGGTAAGTAAATACAAAATAATTTGGTGGAAGCAGTAACAGTTTAGGAAGGGCCTAGTATCAGAGGTGCCAACCTAAGCTGATCCTCATAGGGCATTTCTAAGGAGCAAAGGTAAGGGGTACGAGCATGCCAGACATGGAGGACAGCCTGAACAAAGGCATGGCAATGGAATATCATGTACAGAGAACAGTGAGTAGTCTAGTTTTGCCAGAATGTATATGGAAAGAAATAAGGCTAGAAAGCTGAGCTGTAACTAGATTGTAAAGGGTTTTAAATGCCAAGCAAAAAAATTGTTTTATCCTAAAGGCAGTATGGAACCACTGAAACTTGAGCAGGGGGACATGGTCAGGCTAGTGCTTTATGAATATTATTTTAGTGGCTCTATGTAGGATGAACTGGAGAGGAGTGGGCCTGAGTGAAGGGAGTCCCATGAAGTAGCTTTATAATGTCTTGGTAAGAAGGGATGAGCATAAATTAGGGTAGGGCAGGAGGGGGGGAGGGAAAAAAGATATAAGAAATGTTTGGGAGGTGGTAAAACTTGGTAACCAATTTCATATGGCTATGTCAGAATAAAAGAAAGTGAAGACTAGGCAGGTAACTGAGATTGCAAATGACTAGAAAGATGGTGGCACCCCCATGCAGAAATAAGGTAGATGGGAAGAAAAGTGGATTTCAAGGGGAAAAAAACCTAACTTTTTCATGTGGAAAAAAGATTACTTGCTCCAGAGGGCAGAAGCATGACAGGTGGGTGTAAGTTACAGGAGGAAGTTGTTACTCAGTAAAAAGAAACACAAACTTTCTAACAACTAGCACTGACCCATAATTGGGTTGTCTTGTAATAGTGAGCTCCCTGGTCCTGAAGGTATTCATGAAAAGGCTAGAGAAATATTTGTCAGGGAAGTTGGAAAGGGAATTCCTGCATCTGGTGAGTGGTTGGATTTAATGACCTATTTGTAAGTTCTCTTCTAACTCTTTAAGATTCTTTATTTCTATAAATATAGTTAACATAATAACAGCAAACAACTAATAAAGGCAAGTATTTTTATGAATTTAATGTTTATACAGATTTATAAACCAACACATGTTAATGTAGGTTTGTAAACCAATAAACATATTTCACTGAGTTTTAAAATTGAAATACTAGTTGTTTTGTCTTCAGTCTGGGAGGGCCTTTCCCTTCTGCTTTTCGTTTGGGGAGCTTTGCTGCTGCCATGTGTAATGTTTCCTACATGCCCACCAG